TACAGGAGAGGACATAGATTATGCTGTGGAGTTTTTCACAACTGCAATTCACAAAGCGAGCTACTTAAATACGAATCACAGCCAAAGAAACCAACAATCAAACCAATTGTATTTTCAACTGAAATTCGGAAAAAGATTAAACTCAAAAGGGACCTGAGGAAACGTTGGCAAGAAACTCGCTATCCTGCTGACAAAAGATTATATAATAGAGCGGCATCTGAGCTTAAACAATTATTGTCTAACCTAAGAAATGAATCGCTAGCGGCATATCTGAGAAATTTAGACCCCAATTCTAGCAACAAAGAGTACAATCTGTGGAGAGCCACTAAATATCTGAAGAGACCATGCAAAAGAAACACAATCATCCGCAAAAACAATGGAACTTGGTGTAGATCCGATGATGAACAAGCTGAGGCATTTGCACAACACCTGCACTCTGTGTTCCAGCCTAACGACATTTCCAATCCTACAACGGAAGCTGAAGTAGAAAACTTTCTTGGGTCACCCTGTCAAATGAGCTTGCCAATTAAAAGAATCCATTTTGACGAAGTCGTGACAGAAATTAAATGCTTGAGTAATAAAAAATCGCCAGGCCCGGACAAGATAGACGGCATCACTCTCAAAAATCTACCATTAAATTGTATACGGTTTCTTACGCTAGTGTTTAACGCCATGCTCAGGTTAGACCATTTCCCAAGTCAATGGAAATGTGCAGAAATCATCATGATCCTCAAGCCAAATAAGACAGAATCAGAACTATCATCTTACCGTCCCATTAGTCTGTTGACAATATTCTCGAAAGTGTTTGAAAAAATACTATTGAAGAGGATGTTGCCAATTTTGGACGAACTTTCCATCATTCCTGAATACCAATTCGGATTCAGAAAAGGTCACGGCACCACTGAGCAATGTCATAGGGTCACCAATGAAATTGTATCTGCGCTTGAGAACAAAAAATATTGTACTGCTGCGTTCCTAGATGTTCAACAAGCGTTTGATCGTGTTTGGCACAAGGGATTACTCTACAAGATTAAGAAATGGTTACCTGCCCCATATTATCTATTACTGAAATCCTATTTGTCCAAAAGATGCTTCTACGTGCAGCAGAGAAATGAAACGTCAACACTAATTCTCATAAACGCAGGCGTTCCACAAGGGAGTGTATAAGGACCAGTCCTTTACACCCTATACACGGCAGATATGCCAGTAACAAATAATTGCACCATTGCAACATATGCTGACGATACATCTATCCTGGCAACAAGTTCATGTCGAGACGAAGCTTCTCAACTGTTGCAAAGTGAGCTCAATATTATTGCATATTGGTTTCTTCGCTGGAAAATTAAAATCAACTCCCTGAAGTCTGTCCAAATAACATTTGCATTAAGACCAGGAAACTGCCCAAACGTGACACTTTACGGCTCAGCCATTCCACAAGATTCATGTGTGAAGTATCTTGGCATGCACCTCGACCGCAGACTAACATGGAAACCCCACATAAAAGCGAAATGTCAACAGCTCAGAATAAAAACACTGAAAATGTCCTGGCTACTTAATAAAAAATCTGCAGCCTCTTTGGAAAATAAAATTCTCCTCTACAAAACCATTCTGAAGCCTGTTTGGACCTACGCTATCCAGCTCTGGGGAACAGCTAGCAACTCAAATATCGATATACTTCAGCGCTACCAGTCGAAAACATTGCGAAAAATTGACGATGCTCCATTTTATGTAAGCAATGCAAACATCCACAGAGACCTAAACATTCCAACAATAAAAGAAGAAATTAACAAATACAGTAGGAAATATACAGACAGACTTCACAATCATATGAATAATTTAGCCCTAGGCTAATTTTGTAATGTTACTTAATTTTTCTGGGAAGTAATAGTCAGAATCATTAATTTGATCTGTTTTACTTATGCTATTACTTCTCATTAAATTAAAATTTTTAATCTGAGTTTTTATCTAACATCTTTTCCTACCTATTATTTGTACAGCTATACGGGCCATACTTTCAAATTGGGCAAAAGAGGTTCCGCTCAATTTTTCAAAGAAATATTATATTATATAAAAAAATATGCATCGCAGTGCAATCAAAAAAATTATGCAAAGCAGTGCATGGGTTAAAAAAAAATTTTTCTGCTCAGTTGATTTCCCTTTTTTTTCCACGTCAGCTGGTCGTCGCCGGTTTGGCTACGCTGACGTTCCCTCAGTGGCGCAGGAGGTGGCGTATTCCCGCACTCTATTTTCTGCTGCTGCTGTCCGGGGCATTTTGGACTCAGGCGTTACCGGTGCCGGTCCTCGCACAGGTGTGGTTGCAGTGGGGGCTGTCCAGTGGTCCAGGGCAATCCTTCGGGCACGTCTTTTTTAGTTTCGGTAATGGCTTGGGTGATGGAGGTTTTGTTATTATTTTTTCATTAATTTTCCTTATCGGTACTGAGTGAGTGGCGGCAATCTTTGGGCATTTATTTTTGTTACTCATTAATTTTCTTTCAGAAAATCTAGTTCTGATTGAAGTTTTTGGGCTGTAGCCCACGCGGGAGGTGGAATGTTTACGTAGAGTAGCCACTTTCGGTGTGCTACTCTTTTTTTTTATTTTTTTTCGCAACTCCTCCGCGATTTCCCATTGCTTTCACTCTACTCACTCAAATTTTTTTTTCGCATTTTCCAGTTCATGTTTTTTTGTAGTTTTTCTTTTTATCCTCCTGGGTATATCCTTCTCGGTGTATCCTTCTAGTCCCTCGATGTCCTTCGATGTCCTTCCATCGCTGTCACGGTCGCCATGTGATAAAAAGGATTAAACCCAAGGGTTAAGTTTGGTTTGTCTTTATTTGGGTGGAGCAGCTGAGGTGCCGCTCCAACGATCAAAATGCCTCTGTTCTTTTACAATATTTCTTAAGTCTATGTAAGGCTAAGTCTCGTAGCTGCGCTGCTCGCAGGCGGCGGCAGAGAGACTGCTATGTACTTATGTATAAAAAAATATAATAATATACGTTGTTATGCGCTCCCAAGTGGAGGAGCGAGGGGTATGCATATGCTGACCGTTTGTTACGATTATGCTGACACTAGCACTGTGTGCGGGCTAAGCCAGAACGATCGGTTCGTGTTCCGGCCACTTAGGGTTTATGACCGGAACTTTGGATTATGTAAACACTGCAACAAAGTGTTATAGTGCGCACCCTTTAAGTACTCTCGGTACAGTGGGTATTCAATATATGTGCATACTACAGTTGGAAGTCATTCGCAAAGAAGTGTTCAAGGTGTTAGATTCGGGGGTTTCCAGCTGGCCAAATGGGCAACAAATCACCCAAGTTTGATGACTAACCAGGGATCAGAAAAATCGCTTATGTTCAACACTTCCGAGTCTGTGAAAACGCTTGGGATGAGATGGAACCCTCAGAGAGATGCTTTTCATTATAGTTTGGAGGATTCATTTCAGTCCCTAACACCAACTAAACGCAACATTTTATCCGTCACAGCCCGTTTGTTTGATCCCTTGGGATTGTTGTGCTCGCTGATCATGAGAGCTAAAATCTTGCTTCAGGAACTGTGGCGACAAAAACTGGATTGGGACGAATCGGTTCCCATAAATTTGCATACCAGTTGGAATGAATTCAAACAGAATTTACTAGAAATTGACCGGATATCCATTCCTCGATACATTTGTTTGTCTTCCTATGACAGTGTTCAAATCCACGGACTTGCTGATGCATCGAGCCACGCCTATGGCTGTTGCATTTATGACCGCCAAGTCGAGAGTGTCCCCCCTCAAAACCAAATCGATTCAAAGGCTCGAGCTGTGTGCAGCGTATCTGCTTGCCAAATTATGGGCTCAAGAATTTCCCTTGCTTAACAAATTAGAGTTTGAAAGCATCAACTTCTGGTCGGATTCCCAAGTCACTTTATACTGGCTAAAGAGGGATCCGTCCACTCTAGCTACATTTGTTGCGAATAGAGTTTCTGAAATTCAAGAGCTCTCAGAGAATGTTGTCTGGCGGCATGTGCCCACGGTAGATAATCCAGCCGATTTAGTATCACGTGAAACAGATATAGAGGGTTTAAAATGTACGCTATGGGAAAATGGACCAGAATTTTTACTCCGACATCCTAACGAGTGGCCTCGTTCTCATCAGACTGAGCTTTCACCGGAGTTACATTTGTCCGAGAACAAGAAAAGCGTGGCAGTATGTTCCGTCACAACAAATCAACCGAATGTCTTCATTGAGCTTGTTAGAAGATGTTCGTCATTCAATAAACTCCTGCGGATTATCGCATATGTAAATCGGTTAATTCAAGGGAAGAAAAATAATCGCGATAAGGTTATTTCGGCTAACGAACTTAAGTTATCGTTTCTAAGAATGGTCCAAGTATATCAAAGAGCTGATTTTGGTTTAGAATATGTCAAGCTAGAGAAATCTGAAACTTTAAGCCCACAGCTTCAACGTCTAAATCCTTTCTTACACACTAGCGAACTAGAAGGCGTAACACTTCAATTAATCCGAGTTGGGGGAAGGTTGTTAAATGCACAAATTCCGTATGATGCCAAATTTCCAATATTACTGTCCTCAAAATCAGAATTTGTTTCGCTATTTCTTCGAGACCTGCATCGTACTCATTACCATGCTGGCGCCAAGGTGATGGTATCACTTTCGAAACAGCAGATATGGCTAATCAATGCGCGAGAAGCGTGCACGAAAGTTGTCCGTAGCTGTGTCCACTGTTTCAAATACAAACCAGTGCTAATGGGTCAGATAATGGGCAATTTGCCAGCCGATAGGGTCAAGTTAGCACGCCCTTTTTTGGTTTGCGGGGTAGATTTTTGCGGACCATTTTATGTGTCACTAAAGATCCGCGGTAAGCCTCCTATCAAGACTTATGTTGCCGTTTTCGTGTGTTTTTCGTCAAAGGCTGTTCACCTTGAGCTCGTTGTAGATTTATCCACTGACAGCTTCTTATCTGTTTTTAAAAGGTTCGTCGGGAGGAGAGGGCTGCCGCAGAAGATGTACAGCGACAACGCCACGAACTTCGTGGGAGCGAGCAACGTGCTCAAGGATCTGAGCGCAGCGTTTCACCGCAGTCAGGAACAGTTGAGAGGATACGCGGCTCACAGAGGCGTCGAGTGGTATTTCATACCGCCGAGGTCACCACACTTCGGAGGACTGTGGGAGGCAGCAGTCAAGGCCGCCAAACACCGGCTGCTGCGAGGAGTCGGCAACGCCAAGCTGACAGCGGACGAGCTCAGCACCCACCTGGTCGAGGTAGAAGCGCTGCTCAATTCTCGACCAATCGCGTCGCCAGGCAACGATCCCAACGATGACTCCAGGACATCTGCTTATCGGACAGCCTCTAATCACGCTGCCGCAAGAGTCCGGCACAGGCGGAATCTCCAGAAAGGCCAGTTGCGGATATTTGAGGCGGTGGCGAATGCTGTCCGATCTCAAGCAGCAGTTTTGGGCCAGCTGGTCCAAGGACTACATCGCCAGCCTGCAGCATCGCAACAAGTGGTGCGTCGAGGGCCGCGCTCTGGAGGTCGGGTGTCTGGTGCTCGTGCACGAGGACAACATGCCCCCGCAAAGGTGGCTTACAGGCCGCGTGGTGGCAACAACAGTCGGTGAGGACGGAAGAGTGCGTGTGGCGGAGGTACGGACGTCAGGAGGCGTCATCAAGCGCGCCATCCACAAGCTGGCATTGCTGCCAGTAAGCAACGCTCCTAACGAGGAGGTTAAAGCGCCGGAGGCCTTCAACGGGGCCGGAATGTTGGAGCAGTAGATTAAGTTTTATTGTTAGTTTTAAGGAAAGATGAAAAGAAATAATTATTTCAATACGCAGGCAAAATGTAAACAAACCACCTTAAAAACCAATGTACAAAAGCTTATCAGTTTCACTCAATCTTGAGCACAGCCGAGTTGTTGTGATCTAACTGATAAGCTTTTCAGTTCGTGGCTATGCGAAGTGTTATGCTGCTCTCGGGAGAACATTAACCGATCGAACCTCGAAGCAGCTGGCAGCAATAAACTTTGGAACCAACTTCGTTTCGTTTGTCTCGCTTTTTTTGGAAATTCCCCAGCCGCTAGTCGCAAGTCTTTTTTTTTGTTTAAATTTTTAAAGTAATTTTTCCGGGAAAACTCTTCCGGATTTTCAACCCTCTTTTGGGCTCTGTCATTGTTGACATATCGGGTTTCATTAACCATGGCACTCTCAGTAAAGGTAATGAGATGCGTGCCTCGTACATGGATGTAAGTGCCATTATCCACACTCAGACGTGCCGGACGATCGTTCACGATTATGATGCTTTCATCTACGTGAGTGACTGGGTGTAGATCGCTGTGCTGGATGTCACAGTGTGCTATGCCTCCAGCGTGGAGCTCTTGTCCGCACGACCTTCTTGACGCCAGCTGGCAAAATGTTGCTCCAGGTGTTGTGGAGCAATTGTCGACCGTGTGAATCGCTCCATTGCAATCAGCTATTAATCTGTCCTCCAGCCTGAGCATCGTGTCATGATGGGACACGGGAAAAACAGTGATTTTAATACATGACGATTTGATTATTGGAAATTTAATGACAAAATGCAAAAGGTTAGCGGATTGTAATATTTTAACGGAAGCAACGGACAATAAGTCTTTGATGGGGGTATTTGTGGGCTCTTCTATCCATATATCTTCTAGGTCTGCATGATCTAATATAGTAGGGCTCACAATGTTGGCCTTGGCTAGAGCTATCGCTAGTAATAAATTTTGCAGCTCCATACTAATCATTCTATTTCGGGATAACAACATCTCATAAAGATGCCCCGTGTCGATTTGGGTTCCCTTGGCTGACCTCAGAAGTTGATTGACAGTGGTAGTAATACTATTGATTTGGTCTTGTACTTTACTATTGATATTTATCTGCCTATTGTTTGCATTTATTAATTGAAATTCATTGAGTTTAATTTTTTCAAAATCCTCTGCGTCTGGCGTTCCTGCCACTACCTTTAACACGGCTCCTAGGAAATCAAAACTCCTAGCTACTCTGTGGTGAATGCTCAACGAGTCGAGCAGGTCACGCAGATGAGCGATATCGACACTCAAAAGTTTCTGCATGTGTGACTGGGGAAACATGCTGGTCATGCCATCCGTTTCTTCCACCACACGCCTATATTCGGAGAGATTCGCCGAGTGTGTTACGAACGCGAATTCTTCCCCAACTAAAATTCTACCATCAATGATGGGAATATATTTGGCCTGCGAGTAGTCCGAGACATGCCCCGATGTTACGGTAAGCAGGACTAACAGGGATACGATTGCGAACCTGTAATATTTGATGTGTTGTAGTGTTTGTTTAAAATATTGTAGCCCTCCACCAAAGCATAAAGAAGAAAACACAATTATAACAAAAATTTATACCAAGTGAACAGGGGTGAGAAAATATGGAAAAAACTTATGCCAAGTGGCTAGGGGTGAAAAAATATGGAAAAAAACTTATGCCAAGTGGCTAGGTGTAAGCATTAGAAAAAATGAATTATTATCTAAGGTTGTCCTTGTGGACCACCCTCCCCTTAATGAGGACCGTGGTCCCCAGGTCTGCTTCAACAGCTTTTTCCTCACACAGTGGTGTGAGTTTATTGCCAAGCCTTCGGTTTGACTTGACCAAAACTTTTTCGCCGACTTCGAATGTTCTACATTGTCGGGAGGCATTTTCCCTGGCCCTGAGCAAATTGTGTGCCCTAACGATCTTATTCTGGACGTCCGTCTGTGGGTCGTCTGGGTGCTTTTGCACGATGTCGACTGGCCGTTTGTCAACGACAGAGTGAATTGATTTATTATATTTGGCGGTTGACAATAAAATAATTTCCACAGTATCGGTTATCCTATTGTCGATTTTCAGGCAACGAGCAAGCTCCAAGAGGGTGCTGTGAAAGCGCTTTACCTGCCCGTTTGAGACGCTATGAAGTGGTGGGGCATTTGCCAACACCAAAATGGTTGTTAAGCATGGCTGGTTTAAGATCCTCGATTGAACTAGAGTGGACATGTTGTACAACTGCAAACTTCGAAAACTTGTCTATGCAAGTGAGGAAGTATTTCTTGTCTGTGGAAAAGATGTCGATGTGAAGCAGTTCTCCCACATGAGAGGGGATCGGAGTCTCGCCTAGCTCAGGCTTCTTTGGGTGCCTATCGTACTTGGCTTTCGCACATGTTTTGCAGTTAGCTACAATTTCGGTGTCTAGCTTGGCCATTTTTGGAAAGTAGTACTCGGAGAGTATCTGCTTAACATTTTCCTGGGCCGATCTGTGGGCCCTGTTGTGTTCGACGGTGAGGATTTCCCGTCTCTCAGGAACTGCAAAAATATTCGTTACGCGGTTTTTGCAATGCCAAAATTTGGTGGCTGGAAACTGCCGAACCAATTCGTCCTGTATCATTGCCAGCGTGTGCAAGTCACAATGAATGGCGTTTACGCCTTTAGGAACGATTACATCTGCGAGTTCATCAAGTAATGACTCTTTGCAGGAAAAATTAATTACATGCCGTCTCTTGTTTCCAAAGAGGACAAAGCTGCGTTTTAACGGAAATCGTGCCTCCTCCAGAGTTATCTGGTTCTGGAAGCAATTCAAAGGCTTGTCCGTGGTTTCAATGGTGTAGGTTAGCGACAGCTCACTGTGAATTGTGGCCGCGCTAGAAAAAGCCTCTTCCTCTTCCACAACGTTAAGTTGCTGTCTTGAGAGGGCATCCGCAACAAGGTTATCTTTGCCGGGCTTGTAAAAAATTTTAGCGCCGGACTCGTCGATGCGGGCTTTCCACCTCTTGATTTTCGCATTCGGATTGGATTCCGACACTGCGAAGGTCAACGGTTGGTGGTCAGTTAAGATATTTATATCTTTGACTGCATATAAATAGTGGCGTAATTTGGCCAATGCCCAAACTATAGCTAATAGCTCCCTTTCATTGGTAGCGTAATTAACTTCCCTGTCCTTTATGGTCCTAGAGATCATTGTTATGGGTCTCCCTTCTTGGGATAGCACTGCGCCAATGCCGTACGCTGAGGCATCTGTCGTTAGATCAAATGCCTTCTGGTAGTCGGGGTATCTGAGGATGACATCCTCAGAAGCCAGAATGTTACGCAGTTTTTGGAAAGCCAGCCGTTGGGGCTCGTTGAACTGCACCTGGATGTTCCTGGATCTGTGTCTACTGACACTTCCAAGTTCCCCTTTCAAAAGATCAGTGATGGGCCGAGCTATGGACGCAAAATCTTTTATGAAGCATCTATAATAGCTGGCCAAGCCAAGGAATGATCTGACCTCGAATATGTTCTTAGGCTCTGGGAATTCCTGAATGGCCTTTATTTTTTCTGGGTCTGTGGTAGCCCCGTTATTGGTGACTATAAACCCTAAAAAGCTAACGCTTTTCTTGAAAAATCTTGACTTTTCTGTTGATACCCTCATATTTGCATCGTGTAGGCTCTTGAGGACCCAATCTACGTGCCGGATGTGGGAGTTTTCGTCCTCTGAAAAGACGATAACATCATCAACATAGACATAGCAAAATTTGCCAATCTGCTCTCGCAGTATGTCGTCAATTGTTCCTTGGAAAATGCTGGCCGCATTTTTTAATCCAAATGGCATTCTGCTAAACTCGTACTTTCCCCCGTTAACGGAAAAGGAAGTCTTTTCACGGTCGCATTCTGCCAGCGTGATCTGATGATAACCGGACTTCAAGTCCAGGGTTGTGAAGTACTTGGCCTTGCCTAAGTTTCCTAATATCATCGAGATGTTCGGCATGGGGTATCGATCGGGAATTGTTTTCTCGTTTAGTTTGCTAAAATCCAATACCAAACGCATTTTCCGCCTGCCAGTTTCGTCGGTGCCCTTTTTGTCTACGACCCATATTGGGTTATTGTAGGGGGATTTCGACTTTTGGATGATGCCATTTTTTAGCAGATCTTGGATTTCGCTATTTACAAAATCAGCTGCCCCCATTGGATATGGGTAAAGTCTGGCATAAATGGGAGTCTCATCAATGGTTCTGATGGTGGCAACCACCGACGTATTGTAGGACAAGGCCTCATTGGGGTCTGCGAAGGTTTTTTTCCTGTCGCTGAGCAAAAAAAATGCTTTTCTGGCCAAAGGTGGTGCATCAGAGCAGTCCACCTCAGTAAAATTTACATCAGGACATGTATGAAAGTCGATGCTCTCTACTTCCGTGCCCCATTTGAGCTGACCGGAGGCCAGACAAAGTGACACCCCTGCCTGTTTTAAAAGGTCAAGTCCGATGATTCCATCAAAAGAGGACAAATCTGGTAAAATGAAGAATGAGGCCTTCAAGTTGAAAATTGACACGAAACATTTCTTCGTGATGTTGGTGACTCCATGGATCGAATGAACCTTGAATGGAGATTCTACCGGGCGGACGCCTTTCAATCCTTCGTATGGTCGGATGAAATTTTTGGCCGCGCCCGTATCAACTAGAAATTTCATGTCAATCCCCGCTACTCTTCGTCTGATGACGGGTAGCAGGGATCTTCCCCTAAAAAATTTATGGCATCCGAGTCATACTCGTTTATGGCGTCGTCGTCGATTTCTTGTGCCGCGCTAGAGGCCACTGTGGTGTACGTATCACCAGCTCTGTCAGCGCTCTGGGCAATGTGGTTTACCCTTTCCATGGGTTCTGGAGTGTGTCCCCGGTGCCTATCGCTGCGTGGAGCAAGGTGCACTTGTGCCACTATGTTGGGAATTAGCCTGAGGGGCAGCCTGCTGACGCTCTTGCGCCTTGGGAAATTGTTTTTTCTCCCTATCTTCCTGGCTTCTTGCAAATGATGATGCAAAGGTATACCTATCATGGTTCGCCTCCACCTCTTGAGCCAAGGCAAGTGCCGATGGCATGTCCTTGGGCTTCGCCGCGAAGAGGACGTCAGTGAGGTTGCGTTTTAATCCAGAGATAAATACGCGAAGGGCATCATCCCGGAATTTTTCGCACAAAACCTGCGCAGCCGAGGCTTCATATGACATGGTCGCCTTGTTGGTGAGGAGGGTGAGTTTCCTTTCAACCTCGTCATAATACTGTAGAAGCGAGAGATTTCCCTGTCTGAGGGTGCCCATCTCCTGCTCTATGACATGCATTGTCCGCTTATCACTATAAGTAAAGTCGAGTCGATTTATGATCGCGTCGAAATTAAGCGCTGTGCCAAATTAGGATAGTACTGCATCGGCCGGGCCCCTTATTTTGCTCCTAATTATAATAACTGCCTGATAGTGGCGTGAACTACCTACAAAATTCTTAAAAATATAGTATGCGCCTACTGCCGCCTGTCGCCAGGAGACGTATGTTTCCTGGGCACCCGAAAATTCGGGCAGGCATTTGACGGCGTCTAGTGGTTCATTACAAATGACGGTGTTATTAATATCTATGGGTGTATAAACCTTAATTTGAGGAGCTACTGTTGGGGCGGGTGCGACCTGTATTGCCGCCACTTGGTTGGCCAGCTGTTGAATAGTCTGGCGCAACTCATTTTCTCTGCGCTGGCTGTCAATGGCCGCTTCTTGTAGGGCATGATTGACGGCAGCCTCCACTACCGCTTTTATTTGATCTGGGTTAAATGCCATGTTTCTGGCTGAGGGAGTGCCGACGTTTACACTTTTCGGTGTAGAAGTTCTTGCCGGCCCTTCGGTTTCAGATTCAGAGTCGCTGGGGACCTGCCTGTTGTTCCTGTATTGTTGGAATGGGTTGCTCATATGGAGCTGAGCAAGCTAACTCGGCCCAGCGATTTAATGCATGCTCAAGCGGACTTGTCCATGGGCATGGCGGGGGGTCCGCGGGGGCTGAGATGTCGCTTGGTAACGATGGCCGAGAGCTCGTTGAAAAATTGAACTGTTGTTGCCAAGCAATGACAAGGGGAAGGGGGTTGCGGGGACTGGGTCTCCGCTATGGCACACAGAAATATAAACAACAGAAATTGTCACAGCAAAGAATCGTGGTGGCTAAGTTGCCGTTCCGAAAGACAAAAAAAGCGAAGTTAACAAAATCGGAATACAAACGTCGCGGTGTCGAGTTCGAGTGTCGTAGTGGGGTGGGTAAGCGATGGAAACGAAAACAAACCCAAGATTGTTGCGAAGCTAACACAAAGAATTTAGGCGTAAGCAAAAAGACGACGACATATAAGGGATAAATTAAATGTACAATTAATAAATTTATATTCCAGCGGCGCCTTTGCGTCTAGGCTGGGTATTAAATATGTGGTCTGGTAGTTATATTGGCGCTAATATTCGGCACCAAGATATTTATTGAAAGATTTAAAAAATGCAAACAATGAAAAACATAAATAATATCACTTGTGATTACACCAATAAAATTGTCAAACAATTAGTGAGTACGTTTATTTATAAAAGTGTTAGCACGAAACTCTAATATAGAGCTGCAGAAAATATAGCGTATTGAAATATTTTACTAATGCAGATGCCGGAAAATTTTTGGAACAGAAGTGCTCACTTACATGATTTCCCCGACTTAGATGGGTAATTTTAACGTGGGCGCCAATTAGAATGAGTCCCCTGGCAGCTTTCGTTGTGTCGTCAGCGGGAGGGGGTGTGCCAGGCCGGTAGACCTAGTGTTCTTCCTTCCTTCGTTAGGGGTTGTGTAGCGCACCAGGCAGGTACGCCTAGCGGTCTTCTTTCACTTGTTGAGAGTTATGTAGGGAGGAACTACCTCCGTTATCGTTGGCCCTTAAGGCACAACAACCAATAATAACAAAAGTAATTTTCTGTATGACGGCGGTGCCGGAATTCAAATTCAAGAGCGATGGCTCTGTCTTTATTGAGATTTGAAAATGAACTGAACTTAAAGCTAACATAAAAAGAGAATCATAGCGTCCACTCCAATGGGTAGTGCTTGCCGGCTATGCACGGGCTTCCGGCCAGACGCTGTGTCAGCAATTTGGCCGGAGCGAACTCTCGGACAATCGGTCATTGCCGTCGCCCGGTTGACTTAGTTAACTTATATAACTTAATTTAATGGCGACGCTTTTAAAACGTTAGCTTAATAATACTTCTGCAATCCGGCATCTTCGTGCGAATCTCAGTAAAGCTGGACAACTTATAAGTGAACGTCGCACGCGGCTATCATCGACCGTTGTCGATAAGCTCCTCTTTTTAAACAAAAACAAACATGTAAGTAATATGCAAATATACATATCAGAGAACGTCAAGGGTGTCTTTTTTCGGCACCCGAATCACACTCATACATTTCGAGTGTTTGTCGCACTCATGAACAGCAAGAAAAGAGCACACACCCGGAGTGCACAGATCGCTTTGTGCGTTTTGGGTGTTTGCGTTTTTGACACCCGCTCAATTCTATGCACATGATCCTAATGCACAGACACCCGACACACTCATAGCAAATGAAGCGAGTGTCTGAGACACCCATGTTTTTGGGAAAAGTGAGTCGGGTGTCTTGAAAATGAGTCGAGTGTCTTGAAATGAGTCGGGTGTCTTGAAATGATTCGAGTGTCTTGAAATGAGTCGGGTGTTTCGGGTGTCTTCGACTGATCTGAGTGTTTCGGGTGTCTTCAGCTGTATTGCATGAGCAGGTCATTGAGGGTTGACCGAATAATTTTACATGAAAGGAAGGATGGAAATCCCAATAATATAATCTTAGAAAAGTATATTTCTAATAATACAAATTATTGTCGTCTTCAGTAACTAATATTAAAAAATAAGAGTTTATAATCATTACAAGTATTCAATGACAAAGTCTTAAAAAAAAAAAAAAAAACGTTCATTGCATCAATATTTTAGGATTTTCCGTGTAGTCATCAAACAATCCACCTGCAAATGTATTCCCGTTTTTTGCAGATGCGTATAAAAATACAGATCATAAGTCAATTGCACTGCGAATAGCAGGTAGATGGCCTGACATGGAAAATCCTAAAATATTTGGCCTTTTTTAAGGGGCCATTAATGGGATTTCCTTCCTTTCATGTAAAATTATTCGGTCAACCCTCAATGACCTGCTCATGCAATACAGCTGAAGACACCCGAAACACTCAGATCAGTCGAAGACACCCGAAACACCCGACTCATTTCAAGACACTCGAATCATTTCAAGACACCCGACTCATTTCAAGACACTCGACTCATTTTCAAGACACCCGACTCACTTTTCCCAAAAACATGGGTGTCTCAGACACTCGCTTCATTTGCTATGAGTGTGTCGGGTGTCTGTTGAAAAGAGTACTGGGTGCGCAAGTGCACATTCGAAATGAGCTTGTGCAAGGCACACACCCTTATTTTAGGGTGCCCATCACACTCTGAGTGCAGAAAAGGCACACATGATTCGAGTGCACTCATTGTCTGGGTGTACCCTTGCCGTTCTCTGATACATATATAGTAGAGTTCGGAATAGTAAGTATAGTAGGAATATCACAATATCCAAAAAAACTATTATTTTCTTTGGACCATGTATATATTGAAACATTGATATAAAATTTGTTTTTTTTTTGTTATTATTTACAAACTAAGAATATGACAATATACCAAAGAAGTACAACATGAATATCATGAACAGTTTTATTTTAATTTGTTTTTCTTTTCGTTTTTATTTAATAAGTGATTAATAAATTGGATATTTTTTGTTGAAAATTTTACTTATAGTTTTTAAACATTACAAATTAAAATAAAGTTCAAATACATTAAAAAAAACTGCACATTTTTTGACATTTGACATTTTGATACATTTTGACATTTACGTTTGAAATGATCTCTTTGATGCCGTTTTTGCCTAAAGCACCATTTAGAAAATCCCCAAACATATCAAAGTTAGTAATAAGCTATTCCCACAGACAACTTCGAATTTAGGAGTTCACAATTGTCCACCCTCCTAGATAATTCACATATCCAGTTCTATGAGATAAGCAACCTAATTTTTCAATATTAAACTCCAATTTTTGCCGAAAAACATTAAGCGAATTTAATTATCTTTGTTTATTATACAGTTCTATTATATAAGAAACTTAATTTTTCAATATGACACTCCAATATATGCCGAAAAACATAATGCAAATTTAATTATATATTTAGCAGAAGGATTTATCATCAGAAGGTAAATCAACTAGATTAAAAGTTAAGAATACCCTGACAGATATATGTTTTTAAAACAAATCTATTTAAGAACAATTGTTTATGTTAAAACAAGTCAATGTTTCTTATTTAACCGTTTCATTATAATATTTAACCAACTGTTGGTGATGTCCCTCACATTATAACCAGAGAGGTATTTTTTTGGTATTTTTTAAGACTGGCAAATAGCCACATTTTTTCTTCCTTTTTGCTAGCTATTTCCGGCGAGGTGTGTGTGAAAAACGTGTGCTCTGCGAATTAATTTTAAAAATGTTTTACCTTTTCAGTGTTTATACATAATTTAAATCGAGAAGATATAATGGTGGGTCTCAATAATATTACATTTTATTTAACTTTCCAAAATGTTTTAATAAATTGCATAACGCTTCACCACGTGCAAATTCCGCAATCAGAATTTCAGTTACGGTTTACAACATAAATATTTTAACTTGAAACGCAAAGAAATTGTTCGTAAATTAGTACCATAGGAAGCAAATTTAGAAATAGTACAGAAAAGCTTAAATTGTTACCTTTCCATATGTGTACAGTGTTTCACAGTTGCATTCTTAAAAAAAAAAGATAACTCAAATTTATACGCAGTAATGTGAAGAATATCGCATATTATTAAAATAATAACAAGCTTTTACTAATTTTAAAAACAATCGAATTTTTCATACAAAAACTAAAAAATAAGGCAATTTTGACGCACAAGCTTGTTTCGTGCAAGCACTTTAATGGTAAATAACTCTAAACCACGACTTTTAAATCAATTTTTTTTTTCTTAATATTTGTATAAATATATTAACAAAAGCATAATTATAAGCTGGGGCACCTAAAAATTACGGTTTAAACGGGGATTTTCAACTATGGCGCCACGAACAACTATTGAGCAATGCGAATTAATCCATTCTAAGGATGGGAAAACTCAGGAAATGGTTGCCTAAAGCCCTTGTACAGTACAGTTTTTTGACATCTCTGCTAGTTTGGTAGCGGTGTCAAATTTAAACTTTTATTTATTCTTGCGCGAAGTAAGCTTGGAGCCACTGTATTTTGTGGAGTTCATTTATGCCTATTTTTAGTTTAATAAACATGTTACTATTCCCAGTTAAAAAACTGCGTTTAAACTTTTTTGTTATATTTTTCAGTTTAGCAGGAATAACGACTCAAACTTTTTTTTTTAAGTTGACTGCACGAAATAAGCTGCAAGCCACTGTATAACACAAAAACGAAAAAAAAAAAAGATAAACTAGATATTATGTATAGTTACGTAAGGAAAACCCGAGTATTAATGTAACGCAAATCTATAGTTTTGTCTTACTTTGATTTCTCTTTTAATCTTAAATGAAGTACAAATGTAGTTACTTGTTTACATTTTCTTTGCGGTTTAAGAGGTGAAAAACAGAATAGCAATGCTATTCACTGTATTTCGGTTGGTTAATTTTTATTATTTATATATTTTACCACTTATATTTTTGCAGGGTTTCGTTAAGGTAGTTAAGAACAAGCAGTACTTCAAGAGGTACCAGGTGAAGTTCCGTAGGCGCCGGGAAGGCAAGACTGATTACTACGCCCGGAAACGCTTAACGTTTCAAGACAAAAATAAGTATAATACTCCAAAGTACCGTTTAATCGTGCGTCTGTCCAATAAGGATATTACTGTGCAGATCGCCTACGCTCGAATCGAGGGTGATCGAGTAGTTTGCGCCGCGTATTCTCATGAACTTCCTAAGTATGGAATCCAGGTGTGTTACAGCATTGTTTAATTTTCTAAAAACCTAAATATGCAGCGTTCAAATTTATTCCTAGGTTGGTTTGACAAATTATGCTGCTGCTTATTGCACGGGATTACTGGTCGCCCGCCGTGTTCTTAACAAGTTGGGTCTGGACAGTCTCTATGCCGGTTGCACAGAAGTAACAGGTGAAGAGTTCAACGTGGAGCCAGTTGATGACGGCCCAGGCGCTTTCCGTTGCTTCTTAGATGTTGGCCTGGCTCGCACAACAACTGGAGCTCGTGTGTTCGGTGCAATGAAGGGTGCTGTTGATGGTGGTTTGAACATCCCCCACTCAGTGAAACGATTTCCCGGATACTCGGCAGAGACGAAGAGCTTTAATGCCGATGTGCATCGCGCTCATATCTTTGGACAGCATGTTGCTGACTACATGCGCACTCTGGAGGAGGAGGACGAAGAGAGCTTTAAACGCCAGTTTAGCCGATACATAAAGTTGGGTATTCGCGCTGAAGATGTGAGTATAGGTCTGCTTTCATTCATCGTCCACTTTTAAAATTACTGCTGCGTTTTGAACCAACAACGCTGGCTGTGCCAAAAGTGGGCCACATTAAAGTAACCTGTTCGATGTTCGATGTTCGGCATTCAATTAACCCAACTTCCTGTTATGGTTACACATTCCATCAATATTTTAAATTTTTTCATTGCTTAAATGTCGATATATTTCTGTTTGCAGCTTGAAGATATCTATAAAAAAGCCCACCAAGCCATTCGTAACGACCCCTCCCATAAGGTCACCGACAAGAAGGCTTCTGGAGTTACGAAGAGGTGGAATGCTAAGAAACTCACAAACGAGCAACGCAAAGCCAAGATTGCGGCTCACAAAGCCGCTTACGTGTCAAAGCTTCAGTCGGAGACCGAAGCGTAACAGTGCTTTTCCAGCGTTGCAGTTTAAATTGGTATAAACATAAATAAAGAGTTGTAATGACATAAGCGCCGACTGTGTTAATACAGTTAGTCAAAAACGTATTCGTTGCGAGGGTTCCAGAAAAAAATTGCTGTTTTTAAATGGTTTTAAATTTCAAAATGGGTAAAATCTGTATGCGTCTCGAAAGATACATATTTTGTCTACTAAAATGTATTCTAAAACCAACGAAAAGTTTTCTAAAGAATGTTATCGACAGAAATGTAAAACAGCTCCAAAAAGTATTATAATTTTATAATTGGTTTTTTAGTTTGTTTATACCCGTTACTCGTAGAGTAAAAGGGTATATATATATATTCTTGATCAGGATCAACAGCTGACACGATTGAGCCATGTCCGTCCGTATGAACGCTAAGATCTCAGGAACTATAAGAGATAAGGAGTTGAGATTAAGCATGAAGATTCTTGAGGTCCAATCCAAAAATGCAAAAATCTCGGGATCTACAAGAGCTAGAAAGTTTGGCTTAAGAATATTTAAGAGATGCCACTGCAACTTGCCACGAGTTTTCATCCGACCACGCCGACAAACTTCGGAAAACTGTCGCGTCCAGAAAATTATGAATGCCTTCGTCTGACCGTGTATAACTTATTTCTGAATATCTATCGATGTACCAAAGATTTTTCAAACTGGTACATTATTTTGCTATTTATGAAGAAAAGGTTATAAGGCCTTACATGGGCAACACACTTTCTTCGACAATAGGTGGCGCTTTGGGAATTTTCACTAGCAAAAGTAATAACGGGTATCTTATAGACGCGGGACTCGACTATAGCGTTTCTTCTTGTTTTTGTCTATTAGTTGTATTTTTGGTTAATTTTGGTTGTGTTATTATTTTAAAGATTTAATTCTAGAAATCCAAAACAATTTTGGGGGCATTCTTGGTCTTCAGTGGCTTGCAGCTTATTTCGTGCAGTTACCTAAAAAAAGACCTAGTTCTAGTTGTTATTCCTGCTAAATTAGAAAAGCTAACAGACAAATGTAAACGTAGTATTTTAATCGGAAATATTAACATGTTTATTGAACGAAACCGATTTTCTTAATATAAAAACAAGAATTGTTAAATAAAAACAAAATGCACAGGCTATTTCCATGCCTCAGCTTATTTCGTGCAGCAGATTCTACTTAACTTATTAATTGTAATTTAACAGCTAATATTTTGTATGACTTTTCTATTCCAGGTCAGCTTTAATACGTTTTCCCATTGAGAAAACTAATTTCTTTGTGGATACCACTGAAAATTTTAACACTTTGATAAAAACGTTTCCCGCTCATTTTTTGTTTGAAATCTTCCTCTTCCTTACAGTGATGTCCAATATTTCCAATAAATTTTTGATGACATTTAAATTTTATGACTGGGCTGTAGAGCTGTAAACAATTAGATTTTTAAATCGATTTAATCGAAAAAAATTTAAGTAAGCGAAAAAAATATTTTAAAGTATATACCTCAAGTAACCTAATAAGAATTTATCACTTCCAAAATCAGTGTGTGTTAGTGTTGAGGAAAAAAATGAGAGATGGATAATTATGTTCGTTTTCCAAATATGTATATAATGTAGATTGTTGTTCGAGCTGGATGCAGTCACCGACCGCAGGACGTCCTTGAAATCCAAAAACGTAGACAAGTTTGTACTCACAATTAAAAGCCCTGGGTTTTAAAAAATCAGGGGTGCTCAATATCGTCTTATGGCAGGACATTTACTAACACAAATACAAGAAAGCGTACACATATTTAGTGGGGCTTTTGTGTTGGTTTTGCAGCTGTGCACTAAGCAAAAGAAAAACACCTTCTTTTTTCTAACCAATTCATCTCTCATTTCCACACTCACGTCGATGGTCCACTGCGAAACAAACTCCATAACGCGGAATGAGACGAAAAGAGGAAAACGAAAATGGAAAATTGTTAGTGTAAAATCGCCGCACGCGCTCTAAGCTTATGGGCGAGCAAGTCCCTATGCTCCGAGCATTTACAAAAACAAATGAGCACTCAGAGCATAGGCGTTGAGCACCCCTGAAATAAATAAACAGAAACATTGATTTTTTAATTAAAGAAGAATTTTACTTTTGTTTGCAACTGTAAATTTGGTGTTTTCCTTACCATTTTTAAACAAAATGTGCCTTTTTTGTAAACTCACTACAGCCATGGCCATAGGCCCTTGAAGTTTAATAGGGAGACGCAAGGGTAACTTGCGCTGGAGGACGGCTTGTTGACCAGCTAGAGAGTTACCAGGAGCATGTGCCGTACCAGTAGAGGAGTCGCAGCCAGCGACATAGAGGGACGCAGACAGCGCCCAACACTGGCTACGGACGGAATCGCAGCAAGCGGCCGGAAGACGCAGCCAGCGTCAGTTAAGGAGACCATAGCTAACGGTCAGGAGGCGAAAGAAGCGCCAGCTTTGGCGCCGCAGCCAGCGGCCAGAAGGCATGGGTATCGCCATTTTGGAGGGCGCTGAGACAGCGCCATATTTTGACCTGGCCACGGCGGTGGCCATTTCTAGCCCAGCCACTACGGTGACTACAGTAGCGTCCCAACCGAGAAGCACTGCTGTCACAGCTGTAAGTTCAGACCTTCAGATGAGCCAGCCCCTCACATCCTACCTTTTGAAGAAGATTGCGGCGTTGGAGGAGGAGATCAAGTAGGTTGAAACCCTGAACAGAGCGAGTACCGCCAATCGCAGTTGGCCCTAGCGCAGATGGCGCCAACAGTACAGCTTTGGGGCTACCGCCATTTTGGAGCGGACCGCCATTAGCCACATCTAACGGTGAGGCTCGAACTACGATTTTGGACGTCGAGGGAAAGGAGCAAAGGCGTCGAGTTCTGCATGCGAGCATCGACCAGAACCGATACGACCAACAAAATGATCGGCGGGGAGGTTGTCCAATCTATGGAGGTGCGACGAGCTGCAGGGAGTTCATTGGAGCTTCGCCCCCGGGCAGGTTGAGCATGGTGAACAGACATGAGCTCTGCTTCACATGCTTACGGAGTGGACATACGACCAGATCCTGCGATGTGCATGGTGAGTGCCAGATCAACGGATGCCTCAGGTTGCATCACCGTCTGCTATATGGTGCGGAAGAAGAGCGAAGATGGCCGGCGAAGAAAACCAGCAGTCAGCAGTTTCCAGGCGCAGCCCGGACAGGAGGTCTTCGCCACGAAGTTGTTACTTAAGACGAGGCGGTTTTCCAGAGAGGGACCGAATGCGATCGCAACCGATCTTGGACAGTGTATCTACACGAGTGAAGGAGATACATATGGAGGCTGGATTCGAATTATGCCTGTGGCATTGGGTACCTACAGCTGACATCGCAGCGGATGATGCGCCGCGGTCGTAGAATAAGGCAGACTTTATCTCGGAATCACGTTGACTAAGCGGGCCCGCATTTTCGAGGCAGCCACCGAGCGGCTTGTCGGCGCCTGAGGAGGGAACCGACCAGGTTCCTGATACACCTGGATTGGATGGGGAGCTTCTCGCATTGCTTGCATTCTGCCTGACCGTTTCTGGAGGAGGTGAATCCTGAAGTACCTGCCTACGCTTATACGCCGCGGGATGCCTAGACGAGAGTGGCGCAAGGCCATCGTGGGGGAGGTCTACACCGGAGCTGATGGAGTCGTCAAACGCGCCACTGTGCGCGTGAACAACAATGGTCTATCTCGGACAATTTTGCTCCAAACTTGCAGTTTTGGATTTGAGTGAAGCGGTTCTTTACGGGGTCGGATGTCGACGGTCAAACATTGTAAACAATAGGTAAAATACGTATTGTAAGGAAAATCTAGTATTTGTTAAGTTATCTGATCTCGTATGGATTTCTTGGGGCTACTAGTAACGGTACTGTGGATGCCGCCAAAAATGTGCTTTACATTGTCTTGTGAATTGTAGGAGGGCACACTGCGGTAAGATGAGGTTAGTTTGAAATGTGTGAGGCTAACTTTAATTATTCCCAGAGTAAAACGCACTCACTACAGCCACGGCCATACACCCTTGAAGTTACTCCTCTGTTCAAAAAGGACACTAATTGTCATAAATTTAAGATTTTACGAGCTCTGTTCATGTCAATATGTAAATCTATCTAGAGCCGTAAATAATGATCTGTAACATAAAACCTACAAGGGTGCAGCGCCGAACAGTTGTAATCTTAAGTACAGGCCACTTGAGCCTGACAATAAATATAGTTCTCACGCTGTACAAAGGGTCGCCTTGCGGGGGACCGTTGATAAGGCTCCCGCTCAGGCAAACAGATGTGGTCTCTGCGTAGACCATAGATAAGTATATTATAAAAATATTATGTTAGCTACGTAAGCGAAGACTTAGAAAAATAAAATCAGTTTTTATACAGAACTCAACGGTGAAAGTTCTTTTCCTGGTTATAGGATTCCTTTCATTTTGGTCAATCGAGCCTTTTTGATTCCTTGCGGAACAATTGGACAGACCTCTCTGCAGTTTTCTCAGAGATTTTCTGCACCTTAAAGATTCTGCTAAGTGCTAGACGCTTGCAGCTAAAGGTAGCAAATGGATTCACTCGATTGTTTTCCCCTACCAAAGGTAAGAGACAAAAGTGTTGAACTAAATAAAAGCAAAAGGACAAGCAAAGGGTCTTTTTTTGTTTTTTAAAGCACATTAAAGATTCTGTTTTTTTTTTTTTTTAAAACAGCTAAAGGTCGCTAACCATTGAGCGTTTCCGCGGCCATAACATCGGAAAAATAAAACATAAAAAGTGTGTGTTTTTTAAACCAAAAATAAAAATACATTTTTTTTGGTGGTAAGGCGTGTTTGAGGCCAACATCAGACAAAATAAAAAAAAATTATAATTTGTGAAAAATGAATAGCAAATTAACACTTGTGAAAATAAAAATAGACAAGTGAACCAATAAAATTCTAAAAAATCCAAAAAGTTGGATTTAAATAGAAAAAGTGCCTACAAATGCTAAAAGCCAAGGAGCTAAGCAAATAAAGTGCCCACAAATGCTAAAAGCCAAGAGCTAAGCAAAATAAAGTGCCTACAATGCTAAAA